ACTGACATATTTTTCACAAATTTGACATTTTACAGAAGCAAAAGAGATGAATCATTAATGTAAACAAATGACTGTCAAACTCTAATCAGAGGTTTTAAAAACAGGCTGGTAAAAGATGTTGCTGATAAGAAGGAGATTACACTGAGTGCTGTGTCAATTAGGAGCAAGCACATACCATCTGGCTAATTAAAAAAAATGTTGAGGTTAAATATTCATAATACACATGACTAAGCATCATGCTGGGTAAGCTAAAGCTCTAGCCTTGTGCTGTACTGGATCCTCATATTTGAAATACTTTTGTTTGGTTGGTTTTTTTTTTTTACATATTACATAAGATGCAGTTCAAATGTTTCTAAACCAGAACACAAGATTAAATGCCGTTTCACTGCCACGGCAAGTCCGTTGATTTTTAATTTGGAAATATAAACCCTCTCCTTACTGTATCCACACTAACAGCCAGCTGTGGAAGCTAATCTATAATCTTAAAAACACTATGTACATACTGAATATAATCACACTTTTTACTAAATCTGTATTATACTATGCCCTACAGTTATGCTTAACCTTTCAGGCTAAAAAACAAAACAAAACAATGAAAGGAGTTATAAAAATCACTGCAAACATACTTCAGGAAACAGTAGAAGACATCCACACTTTAATGTTAATCTATTCTGTTGCACACTACCTCTTCTTGGCAGTGTACACCAGAATTAATAAATCTAAGCTATTTCTAGTGCATTTATGAAAATAACATGCAGAGAAAAATGAGTGGAGCTAGGACACGCACACAGAGGCTCTAATTAAACTCTATCAGTGAGGCAAATAAAGAGCAGCTGCGTGTTCCTTACATGAAGACACGCTTACAGATACATAGGCTAAATATCTTACAACAAACCCCCCACCGCCCAAGCTTACTCACTCTCCTTCGCACTGATACAGTCAAAACCTTGGTACATACACTGAAATGTGAGAGTACATCAATAAATGAACCATGCCACTCTTTGGCAGTTTTTCCCCACATGCCCAGAGCAAACAGATGGCGAATGTTCTGTACACATTTAAGATGGTACCTAAGTGGCTACTGTGGCCTCGAATCTGTAATGTGGATTATGCTTAGTATTTACTTCAGAGTAGCCAAACTGTACTGCTGCATGTTTGTTCTGTTCAACCACCACGGCTTATTTATGATTCATATTTTAAGGGGGAGTGCAGGCTGTGGAAAGCTGGTTCCCTGATGACGAGAGCCCTCAGAAGGCAGGAAAACGTCCCAGCAGGCTCCCACACTCACGACGCCCCAAATCTCACACCCACAGCTTTTGTCACCCGAGCCGTAGCGATGCATGGTGTGGTATTTGTGTAGTGAAATAGTGGAAAAAAGAAACACTCATACTCATTATTCTTTAAAAAAAACCCAAATCCTTACACAGACTAAAATGTTGCCAGAAATGAGCACCGCGGATGCATCTTCAATCTTACAGTCATGGCTAATAACATTAAAGCTGTATGGTGATAATTAGTGTGTAAATGTTTCATTTTCAGAACTCTGAAAATTGACACTCGACTCACATTTCGCTTTTTGTAACAGTATCTCTGCCATCTGCTACATTAAGTAACTTCAAGGTGCACTAAACAAAGACACCTCCAGGCTTCCAGGCTCCAAGCTTTTTCTTTTTTCCATTATTGATAATGACAATTTCACACAACGCAATTGTGGGATTTAAATGCCATTCGCTTACACAACACTGCCAGTAGCTATTTACTTTGGCTGGGATTCACTGTCAACTTTACAACTAAAAGTGGACCTCCAGACGTGCGAGGAATCCTACTGACAGTTTGGGCTATGGCGAATTACTTGTAGATTTACACCAGGGGAGGAGATGAGTCAGCTCCGATTTACATGGCCTATGCAGTAAACGACACCGAGTGCAACACAGCATAAGTGTTTTGTAGCTGATGCGGACTGTGGCAAAGAACAAAGAGCATGCTTAGAAATATATCTCTCTAGAGCGCAACGGTTTAAGATGAATTCTTACAGTTTGACTGCACAAAGCACAAAAATGGCAGCCCAGCGGAAAAGCGATACGTTCAGAAACCTATTTACCTCAGCATTACTTTGCAGCAGTTTATTTGCAACATAGTGGGATGTAAAACTATCTCTTTTGAAGGGGAGTCAGCCAGGGTTTGGGTGACTGAGTGAGGAGCTGATAGTGGACTGTGAATGGCAGGGATCTTATGGGATTGACTCTCCACCTGCACTGCCTGCCCAGTCTCACAGATATTCTTCCATTCCTCGAGAAGAACTACTTTACATAATCACAAGCCATTTTGTGTGCGTCATTAATTCAGTCCTGACTGAAGGCATTTAATCATTCCTTAGAAGAGGTGCAGGCTCTCACAGTCCCGCCTGATTATTTTAACCCGACAGACAAAGTGTCTCATTTCAGAACTACAGGCAGCACAATAAAACCGCTGCAATCCCTCCATCCCGGAGGAAGGAGACGTTCACTTTGATGATTTTCTTGGCCTTGTGGGGAGAGGTCACTCCTCAACCTGCATCCTTGCCCACAAACAAATACCGTCTTGGTCCAAAGTTGCCATTCAAGGAAACGAGAGGACAGCATGCAAATGAAGCTAATGTGAATTTCACACTGCTATTCTGCAGTGAGGATACTCGGGGAAGTTTTCTTGGGTGGATAAGGCAGCTTTAACTGTATTCTTTTTGGGCCACAGTTATAAAACCACCAACCTCTTCAGCTGTCAAATCGGCATAATGAAAAATTCAATCTTCCTTTAACAGAGAGGAGAAAATGCTTAAGGATAAAAAAGCAAAATGCAAGGCCATGTTAAAAGGCTTGCAAGTTTCACCTCCAAGAGGCATGTTTCAAAGTGACATGAGCACAGATCACTTTAGCCAACTGTACTTCCTCGTGGGCAAAGGGCCTACACCAGCATTAACCTTAGCAATCTCCCTTTCTTGCTTCCACTCTCCTCCTTCCTTCCCTTTCAGTCGCATCTCTTCAAAACAAAACCACAAACACTATGCCGTAGCCTCAGTCCATGATTCTTTGAGCCTCATGCTACATTTAGACCTGCATTACCTTCAGTTTACATCAGATATGGGTCTGGTTCACAAACACCGAGCTTGTTATGTAGTTTGGACTACAACGAGGAAGAGAAGAACACAAACAGCCACTGGCCCCCTGAGCTGAAAATGATTTTACTCATTCACTGTCATTAGCCTCAATAATGATAGTGCGCCAAGACGACGAGGCTGCCGCTAGCAAATTAGATGCAAAGGATTGTGATGTGGCTTCTGAAAACAGTACTGAGGATAGATGTGTTGCCTCCAAACAGCTCTCCATGTTGTCAGTCAACAATCACACTTCACATTTCTTAATGAAAATGTAAACTGACTGACACGATATTACCTTCAGTTTTTCTTGCCTTTAGATTTGAGCTTCAAGATGTTATTATACTAATAAAATGATCAAAATTGAAAAATATGTTCTTGATTGGGTATTGTTTACTTCCCTATATTGTCCTGCAAAAATCAAACATCCATGTATCGTATCAAACGTGGCTTGAGTCAAAAAAAAGTAGTGGACTAAATTTTTAATCACTGTACCTAAAAAACATTTAAAAAGAGATAGTATACCTTTGCAACACAAGGCTACAAACATGAAGAAAGTACATTAGTCGGTGCTTATATATAGCAGACAACAGCAACTTGCTATTTAAAATGGATAAAATGTTCCTTTAAATATTCATCTAGCTCTTAAATTTTCTTGCTTTTTCTTGCAGGCCTTTTAAATAAGCTTATCGACCTTTGATCATCTTTGAGTCACGTGTGGGAAAATATACAGAGAGAGTCATTACTGAAAAATAAGACTGAATCAACTCTCCTATGCAAAGTGGATCCACTGCATTAATGACCAGATTGCTGCAGTACATGATGCGCTGCACCTCACGGTGCTGAAAAGAAAGGTGAACTGCTTTTTCTCACTGATGCATGCAGAATTCTTTGTTCTGTACTACGGTTCAATTTGCCATTCACTCTTTTACCCTCAGTGCTTCAATATGCATTTAAAGCAATTCCACATTTACTATTATTCTGCTGCTTTTTCAGCCCTTTTGTCAAAGCTGGACTAATCTGAACGTTTCACTGCACATGTAGAACACATTTGCATTTTAATTTAAAGGCATTTCCAAAGGAAAACCTTTGCTTAAATGGTAAGTATGTCCTGTGTTAGATAACAAACAGTCATCAGTCTTCATGTCCACAACGCGGGTTAAATAATTTGCCTTAAGTGATAGAGGAAGCTATTTTACCAGCACATAATCAGTAATCAGCTGTCTGGGGAGGTGGAAGAAAATTCAATGCAGTATTTTATTAACATTTATAATGTAGCAGGCAGAACCCAAAGTGCAACCTGTTAATATTTTTCAATGATTTCAATGGCAATTTCTATTAGCATGCTCTTTCCATAACGATTGACAAATGGCATCAGTTTATTTAGTTTGGGAATTGAAATACAATCAACCTAGTTACACCAAGTTAAAAGCAATCTGCAGTGATACTTATGGAACTACCATATTATTGTTTTAAGTAGTTTTAAGTATTAAGTAGTGCACTAGAGATAATACTAGAAAGTACTAGTAACTAACAACAGAGGAAGTATTCCAGTATATCTTAAATAGAAATAAAATTACAATCTTTCTTCATTGCTCAATAGTTAAAGTTTTGGGTAAATTTAAATAACTGATTTTGATAACTTACTCATGGCAGGTGTCATCAATCGGAAAGGAATAACAAAATCAAATTAGCACATCAAAGGGGAAAACAATACATCCATTTTTGGTGAAGTAGTCTTGGTGGAGTCACAGAATTTGACAGCCACCATCATTCAAAATCTGCTTTGATTGGATGTGGCAATTTAAATACTGAATGTCTTGAAGTTTTGGTATTTAGCCAGATGCAAATCTGTTAAGACATGCCCTACCTATACTTCATGCCAGTCTTCACACTTTGCTCGCTGGAGGAAGGCACACTCTGCACAGAGAGTTGTCCAAGACTCCGAGCCACCATCGCCACTGCTCTGAACTTGCTGCGGGTGCCTGTGCTGGGGCTGTTGGCATTCTGTCGATTTAGCCGGTCCTCCGTGTTGCGGCTTACCCCTCCACGATGATCCGTGCACACTAATGACACCTGCATTCTGGCTTCTGGCCGACTGTCCCAACTGCAGATTCCCTAATTAAACTCTCCTCTTTATGAATAAGGAGAGGAAAACACCAAGAGGTGCAGAGCCCAAGGATCCTCTTGGGAATGTGAGACTGTTCACTCACAAGAATCGAGCTTCACACTGCGCCTCTGCAAGAAATCACTGCCCAGTCTCTAGAGTGACTGTCCAGCACAAAATGTTGCAGAAAAAACAAAAACAAAAGGTACAAGGGGTGGGAGGGCAAAGAAAATGTGTGAAAATGGTGATGGATTGCTGATCAGGTGAAAATGAAGTCCTGGCAAACGAAGTCCAAATTCAAGCAAAACATTATAGAAACCTGCAGTCCCTGCAGACTTTAGACATGAAACTCAAGTCGGACACAATGCAGTTGATAAAGCAACAATTTCTTTTAAAGTAATAAAAAAATTAAAAGAAAAAAAAGAAAAAAAAGAAAAAAGAAAAACGCTGATTCCCCACTAAGTTTCTCCTCGATTGTCTTGGGTGTCTTCTTCTTGCCTTTTCTATCAATCAGAAGCTTGCAGGCAGATTCACAGTCTTGGAATTTCCTTTTTAAAACTGAGCTTAGTGCTAAAGATTGCACCTCTTGGTGCCAAGCTTTAAGAGTGGCAACGCGTAGATCCACACAGAGAGATTGAAAGACTAAAACACGACACACAGATCCAGGAGGTTTTCATCTTTCCTTCTAGGTCCGCCTCGGCAATTACGCTGGCTGATGCATATTCGACTCAATACTACTGCATGTTAGTAAAAGGGCAACCTCATATTCACCTCTCACTGTTGCCTGGATTAAACTTACATCTGTATGCCCTGTGCTGAGCATAAAGCAGCACGGTGCACACAGGAGTGAGATGGAAGGGGAGAGAGAATGGATGGAAGGGGGGGGGAGCGAGAGAGAGAGCGAGAGAGAGAGAGTGAGGGGGGTGGGGGCTGTGGTGGGAGGGATATGAAGAGAAGCTAAGAGGAGGAATATTCAGAGAGCCACGGGAGCGTGAGAGCAATGCACTGAAATCTTGTGTGTTTACAGCAGCTCTACAAAGACAGGGTGGTGCATTTTTGTGCTCCTCTCTATCTGTCGTCTGTTGCCCTGCAGTGTGATTTCATTTAGTTATTCTGTCAGGAGAAAAAAAAAAGGAAGGATGAATGCTCAAGACTGTGCATTGCCTATGGCCCCAGAAAAGGGGTTTCTCACGTGGGTCTGTTCAACTGCCCATGAAACATTTATTATGCAACTTTATCTATGACAATATAAGACGGGCATGTGACGCACATAGCCGTGTACTGCTGTAACTTTTCGATTTCAACCGAGCAAATTCAGCTTGATCGAGAATGAACTGATTAAGTACAACAAAACGTCATCAATTCATCTATATTCACCACGTATTAGAAACTGATCTGATTAACAGTAACAGGCACACTCAGGTGAATGGAGGAGGAACATGCAAGAGTGAACAGTAGAAACACGATAATGGTTGCAGGTTGAAAAGTAAACAGCACATTCACTGCAGCTTGGTGAGACAGTAGATGAGAAGCACACTCTCAGTAACATAATACTGAAGCTTATCTGAGTGGATCAGCGAGTGTGCCAAGGAGATAATTAAAAGAGATGCCATCAGTAGCAGACATGTATAGTAAAGCAGTCAACGAAGAAACCCTCCATCAAAGGAATCCAACAAACAGGCTGCTGCTAACTGACAGCTCTATTCTTAGATTGGCGACCTTTTGGTCTACTAGACTTAAATAGAGCCCTGAGGGGGAAAAGGTGGTCTAATTGAACTGAAATCTGATTTAAGTTTCACACTGTGGACAGAAAGCAGAGAAAACAAGCTACAAATGACCTTCTGAATGCTCCTTCCTGCCACAAAGACAGTGAGAAGTATAGAGGGACCTTCTAGTGACAAAATACTAATCATACTCAATGTCAGGGTGACAGGGAAGAGATTTGGGGACATTCCCTTCACCATTAATGTCTGCTCATTTTTAACAGAGCAGATTAATACACCAAGACACCGCTTTAGCACAGGGTATGGTTTATGCATTAGCCACCACTGTGTTAGAAACATGATGCCACAATCCATGCTGCTCAACTCCAGGACCCCCAAGAGTCGTGACATGTGGAAGGTACTGACAATTGGGAAAGGCTGGGAACACAAGCTTACGCTGTCAGAAACAGTGTCAACCTTTACATCTACACTGAACCTTGACTAAACTCCCAGAGTCACAGGAAGTTAGTGGGAACACTTTACTTATTCAATTCTAGAAATCCACGTTTTTTAAAAAGGTAAAGGAATCAATATAATCCTCTATAATCATATTTAACTTACTGCACCTCCTGCCATTTTCTGCAGACTGCCCAACTCCCACCACCAAAACTACACTGCAACTTTCAATGCTCATTTAAAGGACCTGTAAGATGTCTAAACTAAAAATGACACCACACACACCAACGCTTTCTAATTAACAAATACAACAGGATCTACGAACCGTTACAAAAATACACCAACAAAAAATATGTTCAATCCAATAAATCATGCCTGTCACATTTACTATGATTTAATAATTCGCCACAGGCACATCTGCCAACTTTCTTTAAACTGGCAGTACGTGTTTTATTCCTTCTGACTATATCTGGAAAACAAAAAAGGACCAAAAGCCCCGAGAGAAGGAGAAGAGAAAAAGAAATCATTAACTATGACTGACACCTAATCACTGCATGATGACATGACTGTTCTCTTTAAGAAATGTTAGCAGGCATTGCTGTGAGCATGCCTGACAGATATTTTAGGAGTATACACCTACTGCTGCCAAGTGAAAAGCTGATAAGTAAATCCTTTCTTCAGAAAAAAAAAGAAAAAGACTTCCTAGTTCCACTTTTTCCACATGCATCACTTCTGCAGCAGAGTCAAGACAATGCCAAAGGTGAAGACTTCATCAGTTACTCATAACTTAATAAACCACCTCAGTGTTTAATTCATTACTCAAGTTTTCACTTGGATGACGCATCAAATTGCACTGCAGTGGTCACACTGCCTACTGGCTTGGTAATGAACTCGGAGTCAAAGTCATTTTGAACAAATGTGTGCACTTTCAGGATCTCCTGCAGTCTTTCATGCACACTTTCATCGGGGTTCTTTTCCCAGCACCATTATCGAGCAAAAACTAGCCTGAGCATTAACTGCTTTGTACTCATTCATCACAGAGAACATTTGTAATGAATTAACTTCTACTCATTGTTTGTCGCAAGATAAATCAGTCGTGACGGATGATGTACTAAAAATAAGTAACTCTAATCTTCACATAATGCCTTAGAGTGTGGCTGTTAAATTGCTAATTAGTGACAATATGTTTAGGAGGAACACAGTAGGGTGGCTCCAACCGTGTTAAACTGTTCTGCAGGAGTAAAGAGCTATTTTTGGATTAATGCTTAAAGGAAACAACCAAACAACACCTGAAAACCTTTGAAGTGCCTACTGTTAGATCTGGACTCAGTAGTTGGTTGTTAGTTAGCAGTGCTGAGCAAATCTTATTACAGTGCCCTTTCTTGTGTGGGGGCCTTAATCTCCTCGCTTTGATTAAGTGACTGATTTGAGGATATCCAAAAAAAAAAAGAAAAAAGAAAAGAAAAAAAGAAAGAAAGTCTACTGAGCGTCTAAAATATCACAGTGAGTGAATGCAGAGGACTGCTACAGCCCTCATTCAGTGTGTGGGGGAGGAAGAGGAGAGATAAGCTGAATGTTCAGAGCAGAACATGTGTGCTTCCCTGATCACGACTGCAGTCGACTAAAATTCGCCAAAACCAATAACAACGCCTTTTTTCAGGCGAGAGAAGACACAGAAAACAAAAGATTGAAGAACAACATTCAGTTTCAAATTCACCATGTAACAGCTGTAAATACACACAAACGGCTATAAAAATGTATTCTGCTTCTTACAGTCTTACGTCCTTTATTACTAAAACTTGGAAAAAGACTACTCACACACACACACACACACACACAATCAAAACTATTGACTATGTTCTGCTCAACTCAACAGCCTTGGTCAGAAAGAGGCTTAGGCCCATCGATGTTGCTATGCCATAATGAAGCCTCAGGAGTCTGTTCTGGCCGTACAGGAGCTCAGACAACTGCTCTCTTCCAAACTATAGCACACATACTGCAGCTAAGACAACTTCTTTAATGAACGGAACATCAGAAATTTCTCTGACCACAGAAGTACTGTTGGGTACTTTTGTGAGCACTGATTCTTCGGCACAACCGCAGTCTTATCTCTAAAAATAGGCACTGGCTCTCCAAATCAATTCCACACACTGAGCACAAAATACAAAGAATGCCCTTGGCGGCTGAAAGGGGAAAAAGACCTCCAAAATTGACATTTGTCACTGGCGTGAGTGTCACACGGAGTCTTTCACTAATTCGCTTTCAGGGGCAGGCAGTCTGCGCCGAGTCGGGATCGGTGCGTAAACTAGCAAGTCTATAGACCTAATCTGTCCAAGCTAGTTAAGCAAGCAATGGCTTTTTGTAGTCATCTATAAGGACTACAACACAGATAAGGATTCCCTTTAAGCGTACAATTAAACAGGGTTGTTATCCAGCTATATTCTGATTACCCAGTCCTTCAAGATGGGTAATCAGAATATAGCTTAAGAATATCAAGTCAAAAATAGTTTAAGCGTTTCATCTCATGCTTTCTCAGACTTCTTCTATGCACATTCAGTATCTTACTGTTAATTAACAAAAGCTTAACCAGGGATCTCAGCTCATGGCCACACCTGTATCATATGTAACTTAATACCACACACTTGTGAGGATTTGAGTAACCATGTGAAAAGTATAGCATCCCCAAGATGATGTGTGTGTGTGTGTGTAAAAGGGCTTAACAGAGTTAATGGAAAGAGAACTGAGGTCAGACAGATTGACAGTGTTGATCGACAGATGCTTTTCTAACAGCTTAATGCATCCCGAGGCCGTGTCTGAACATTTCTAATTGAATCACTATGATGAGGATGTAATTAAAGAAATTGGAATACTGCTGTTTATGTGTTATATTAGCATCAAGACTTTTTCTTTCTCTACCGTTTCATGGTCTGAATGAACTCAACTGTGACAAAGATGTACTGGAGATTTGGAATAGCCATCACAGAAATACAAATAAATGTAGAAAATTAGGTCTAGCTCTTTGGCGATTCTGGGATTTCCTGGGGAAACAGCAGAGCGATGGTCACATCTGCGAGCAACGAGTGCTGCAGTTTTTAATTCTCCAGTGAACATGGCAGATTCCCCGCAGACAGCTGGGCTCAGGAGGAGTTGTCATTTCAGCTGTCCCCGCTGACACGTCTAACGGAGCAGAAGACGATCAAAAAATAGAGGACAGGAAATCCCTGTTCTTATGTAATATAGTCATAGTGGCTCAAATGTAAAATTTAAAAAAATGCTCTGCAGGAAAACACGTTATTATATTTTAAATATGGCCCATGGTAACTTTAAAATCTCATGTACAATGCTCATGTGTATAATGGGTCTACTTGTCTAGAAAACAAAATAACACGTTTCTGATGGAGCATATTGTGGAATAAACAAACCAAGTACCGATTTCACAGCCATGTGAGGCTTTCAAAACCATAATTTGAGTAACAAGTTGTGCTTAAACCAAACATAGCTGATTTACACACTATCTGGTAGGAAAGAGAAGGCAAGAGAGAGGGATGAGATGAGGAAGCAGAATAATCTGGTTTGTTCAATGGGAAATCTTCCCGCCTGCCTGTGTGCATTTGTCATACCTAAGGAAATCTTCACATAGCCAAGTGTTGCTAGGCAAAAATATTCACTACTGCACACATTTCAATGGAGGGA